TCATGAGCATATCTGACATTGTGACAACTGTATGGTACCCACTGGAAAGGTATGGATAACACTTCTGGTGTCTAGGAACTTGGAGGACTCTGAAGTCCATCCTAGCAAAAAAAAAAAAAAAAGCTGAACAAACTAGGCTAGGTGCAGTGGCTCACATCTGTATCCCAGTATTTTGGGAGACTGAGGCAAGAGGATCACTTGAGACCAGGAGTTAGAGGCCAGCCTGAGCAACATAGTGAGACCCCTGTCTTTACAAAAAAATTAAAAAAATTAGCTGGATATAATTGACATCTATTGACTACTTACCCAACAAGAGCAGAATATACATTCTTATCAAACTCACATGGAACATTTATCAACATAGACCACATTCTGGGCCATAAAACTTACCTTAATAAATTTAGAAGAATACATATTATATAATGTCTGCTCTTAGACTTCAATACAATTAAACTAAAAAGCTATAATAGAAAGATATGTGGGAAATCCCCAAATACTTGGGAGATCAAACAATGCACTTCTAAATAACATGGGTCAAAGAAGAAATCTCAAGAGAAATTGAAATATATTTTGAACTAAGTGAAAATACAACTTATCAAAATTTGTGGGATGCAGCAAAAACAGTGCTTAGAGGTAATTTTATAGCATTGAATATATGTATCAGAACAAAAGGAAGATCTAAAGTCAATAATCTAAGCTTCCACCTTAGAAAACTAAAAAACAAAGAGTAAATTAAATCCAAAGCAAGCAGAAGAAAAGAAATGACAAAAATTAGAGTAGATGTCAATGAAATTAAAATAGGAAGTCAATAAAATCAAAAGCAAAGCTGGTTTTTTGAAAAGATCAATAAAATCAATAAGCCTCTAGCTAGGCTAACTAAAAATGTATGGACAGAATGGAGATAGCTCAGATAGGATTTAGGAAAGGGGAGCTTGAAGAACAAAACCTTGCCCATATGTCTCCAGCTCTGTCTGAGGGAAACTGCCCAATCTAGCAGAATTGAGTATCTGTTTCAATTGGCAGGTTGCCTACAGTGGAAATGGTTGCACACAGGCTATTATACAAGATGACATTATCCATCAAGTTAATCTAATTAATTTTACTTTTTATGACTCATGATGAAAATACAACCCTGAGAATGTAATTTCCTTCCTTATGCAATTCTTTCTATGGGGAGATAATGCCTTGACCAAGAGAGATGAATAGTCCAATTGCCTCAGCAGGTATATTTTTCATTGTTAATTTAATTTAGTGGTATTTTAAGGTTATATCTGTTGAGGTGAACTGAAACTCTTAACCCTGATAACAGCTGAGAAGCTATTTGTGTGTAGAACCATTTAATTTAATGTGGAGGCTTTTTGCCATAAAAATCAGGCCAGAAATATGCTTGTAACATAAAAGGCCAGGCTATTTTAGAAGCTGCTAAGTCACACAATCTTATTTTTTAAAATGTGTTCTCAGCGTGGTAAATGTGTTTACCTGAGGTATATTAGGAGAAAAAGTAGCTGTAGCTTCATTGTTGGAGAGACACCTAAGTGCTGAAGGCTCCACTCATGAAATCAAAGCTTATCCCTACTCCTGGGAGCCATCAGAAAAGCCTTAGCAGAGGAAGAATATTGGCATCTAGCTGACATCTGGGTGCTACCTAAATGCAGCAGAATTTATCAGACTCAAGAAGGTGCTGGGTCGTATATTTTCTTATTCTGTGAGGATAATGGGGACGCTGGAGAGGAACGGTTTAAAGATAGGACTTTGGGGAGGGACAGAAGGAAAACTGAGGAGAATTGGGGAAACTAGGAAACTAGGGATTGTCCAAGAGGGACATCTTATTTAAACCTATGCAATGAGGTATTATGATTGTTGCCTGTGTGTGGTATAAGGGAAAAAGTTAGCCAAACATAACTCCTAATCTCCCCTGACTCTCTGTTACCTAGGGAGACTTGAACTCTTTAGCAAAAGAACTGCTTAATTCTGTATTGCAATCTAGTGTGCATTTTGTCTGAGGGAAAAGGAAAAGGCAATATTAAACTGGGATAATTCTTGTTCACAGAAGTTTGGTGGGCACCAGCCTTAGTAGAATTATTAGACAGAAAAGAGGATCAACTAGCAGACTCCCCAGAGACAATATGGGTAAGTTGCCTGATTTTCTCCTCCTTAGTGCATAACTTCAGCCCTCCTATTGGACTGAAAGGATGGATTTGCCACATAGGTTACATGTTTTAGTCCTTTGTGAGGTTGCCTAGGATAAGTCAGTTCCCTGGAGTTTTCTTACCTGTTGGCAAATCTGAGGCCTGCTTCCTTGATACATATCAAAACAATGGCTGGGCGCGGTGGCTCACACCTATAATCCTAACAATCTAGGAGGCCAAGGCAGGTGGATCACTCAAGATCAGGAGTTCGAAACCAGCCTGAGCAAGAGTGAGACCCCATCTCTACTAAAAATAAAAAGAAATTAATTGGCCAACTAAAAATATATGGAAAAAATTAGCCAGGCATGGTGGCACATGCCTGTAGTCCTAGCTACTTGGGAGGCTGAGGCAGGTTTGCTTGAGCCCAGGAGTTTGAGGTTGCTGTGAGCTAGGCTAACGTCACAGCACTCTAGCCTGGGCAACAGAGTGAGATAAAAAAAAAAAAAAAAATACTGTCATCCTTTGAGTCCCAGTAGGGACAGTCATGTGGCATCCCAGAGGATGTATTTTTCTCTTTCTAGGTGTAACTGCAATAATGTCATGTGGGGGATTCGATGCCTCCATGAAGCAATGGGTATGGTTTTGTGTCACAGACATAGACATCTCTTCAGTATCTGTATCATTAGTCACAAGCAGAAGAAAATGAGAATAGGTGGATGAATCTGTGCAAATCTATCAGCACTATCTTCAAAACAAAACAAAAGTTCCTATTAACTGTAAGAACCTAACTACTCAAAGTGTGGACTCTGAATCAGAAGTGTTGGTATCTTGGGAGCTTGGTAGATTGCTGCCCCATTGAATCCCAGCCCTACTGCTTCAAAAGCAGCATTTTAACAACATCTCCAAGCTATTAGTATGCACTTGAAAGTTTGAGAAGCAGTGTACACAATATTATCAACCTTTGTTTATGGATACCACATTTCTTACTTTTTACTCTAATTTAGTAATTTATTAAGTTTATGTTTTATAGTGCTAGTCTTGTGAAGAGTCCAACGTGCTGTAAACTAATAGTTTATAGGAAATCTGGAGATGGAACGGTATAGAGACATATAGTAAAACAGGTAATTTAATTCATATAGTCCGCAAATATTAATGTTTCTTTAGCTCCTACTATGTGTAAGAGACTATTCAAGGACCTGAAGATATAGCAGCGAGCAATGTCCCTGTTTTCATGATGCTTACATTTTATTAAGCACAATAAACAAATAATATGTTAGCTGATAAGTGGCTATAGTGAAAAATAGAGTAAGGAGAAACAGAAGTTGCTATTTTATGGAACCAACACGCTTCTGCTACACAACTCTGCTAGAGGTTGCTATTTTGTAAGGAAGGAATGCTTTACACATAAGATGATTCTTGAACAGAGACTTAAAGATTGTGTGTAGACATCTGGAGAAAGAGATGTCCTGGTAAAGGGGACAGCATGTGAAAATCCCTGAGACTGAAGTGTGCTTTGTGCATTTGAGGAGCAGCAAAGAAGTCATGTCTTGTGTGAGATAAGGAAAGGACAGACTAATTGGAGAAGTCAGAGAGGAAAATGTGGGAGGAAAACAAAATAGGTCTTTTGCAAGCCTTATTAAGTGGATGGGAAGCCATCTGAGTGTTTTTAGCAGAGAAGTGACATCTTATTTTTGTATTAAAAGATCACTCTGCTATGTTGAGAGTAATCCACGGATGGGGGAAGAGTAGATAGGCAGAGGCAAGGAGACAAGTTGGAAGGTTATCGCAATAATCCAGAAAAGACTCAGCAGGAACAAACTAGAGTGGGGTGGGGTGGAGAAATGGTTAGATATATTTTAAGGCTATGGCTGAAAGGGTTAGAGTGGATGTAAAGTTCATGAGAAAGACGGCAAGTACACTTTCTAGGTTCTTGGACTGAACAAATACAAGCATGTAATTGCTAATTACTAAAACGGAAGATCTCATAGGAAGTCCTCCCCCTCCGAAAGTTTGACATGTTAAGTTTCATATGCCTGCTGGACAACCAAGGAGAAAAGGTGAATGTAAAATGTAATTTCAGTGTAAAAAATTGAAGGCATAATTTGCAAGCAACTACTATGAACTCTGCCACGCTGGATTGAAAGCAGCTATTGACAATAGTAAAGGAATGGGCATAGTTGTGTTCCAGTAAAACTTCATGGCACGGAAGCTTGAATTCCATCTAATTTTCACATATCATGAAATATTATTCCCATTTTTATTTTTGTTAAGCAAATTGTAAGCGGGATGGGCTACAAAACCTAAATCGTTTTCTCCCTGGCTCTTTACAGGAAAAGTTTGCAAGCCATTGTTATAGATGAAACAAGATGGGACATTAGCTGATCATTTTTGAAGCGGGCGATAGTATATGGGGCTTTGTTATATTAGTATACTTTTGTATGTACTTGAAAATTTTCATACTGAAAAGTTTTAAAAATGTTTAACAAAGGTGATTAGTCCTACCCGTTTTTTCCTCCCTTTAACGAAACAGTAACCCTCTGAAAGTTGTTGATAGCTAGTAAGCGTCTTTTGTTTTTTTCCTGACCTAGCAAAACCGTTTTGAAGCTTTCAGTGGTAGTAAAATAAGCCCTTTAGACTGACATTTGGCTACAGCAAAAGTACGAGGCACAAACACGATTAGGGAAAAAGGGTATTTTCCTTGGAGAATGTGTGTGTATGTGCGCTCGCGCGCGTTTCCTTTTTACATTACTATAAATTCCCAGGACCAATGCCATTTCTACAAATAAATCAAAACAAGATCCCCCTTAGCTATCATAGTCGGGTTTCCCGCCCACAGATAACTACCGGAAATGACGCCACCAGCCGAAAGCTCGATGGCCGGTCCCCAGCAGGGGCGGGGCGTATACGTCAGCACGCCTGCCCTCCTCGTAGTCCAGCTGGGGGAAGGCCGACCTGAGTGCTTGGGCTGGCGCCGGTCCCGGGAAGGGCTGCAGGAGCCCTGTCGACTGCGCCTGCGCAGGTATGTTGGGGCGGGGCTTCAGGTCACCCTGCCCCTACCCAACCTACGCGACCATTTAGCCGCCGCCGCCCGAGGGCCGGGTAAATCCTTAGCGGCCGGAATGATTAGCCGAGGGGGCAGCCCCGCCCCTGGCTCCTCCCGGCCCTCGCGCCCCGCCTCCCTGTCCCGCCCGCCTGCCTAGCTGCGGGGTGACACCCGGCTTCGCCCTGGGAAGGGGGCGAGGGAGCAAGTGAGGCTGCGGCGCGGTCCCCCAAGTGAGCGTGGTGAGGTGAAGCGGGTCGTTGGGGAGAGGGGTCGGTGGCGAGAAGTGGGAGCGCCCGGGTGCTTGGTGGTGGAGGGGCTGTAGAGTGAGGGGCGACTGTGAGGGGGCGAGGCTGTCGCGGGCGTGTCCCGATACAGCGGGGCTGGCAGTGAGCGCGGGGTCTGGAGACGCCAAGCTCGCGTTGCGAGCTTCAGTTCTAAAGCTTCTCTTGGCACCTTGGCACACCTTAAGTTTGCCTCTGTTTCGGTCGTCTGGGATGCGAGGAGGAAATTTAAAGACCCCCCGAAAACAGTTGGAGGCTTTCCCAGGCAGTTTTCTTTGCCGGTGTGTGCGTGCTGGTTTCTTCCTGGATGGAGAGGTAAAAAGGCCAGGTGGGCAGGTTGACTTTCACTCTCGGAGGATTGTTAAAACAAACAAGCCAGGAATTCCTCACCCCTCCCCCAACGCCCTGCCCTGCAACACAGCAAACATTCCCAACAACTTTTAAGAAGCAGACTATTTTGAATCCAGAACTTTTTTCAGAAATCTGAAAAAAAATAAATAAAATAAAAGCAGACTAGAAAATTCTAAAACATTTCATGTGTTTGAAATATGACTTCGAAATATGTGCCTTTATGTCTGTAGAAAGTAAGTGGTAAGGGAGTCTTTATTATCGCTTAATGCAGTTTTGGTTATGAGTATGCATTCGTTTTTATGTGCCTTAAAGGACTCTATGATGTGACATTTTGTTAGCTGTGATGATTTCCTGAAGCACAAGTTTCTCTGAAACTAATCAATCAGTGTAAAAGTTTAGCCTGTTAGTGAGAAAGTGAAGCAGATAAATCTTTCGTTTCTGATAAGTCTAGATTTTTAAATATGGCCTCTTTTACTAACAAATCTTTGGTTCTTTTTCCTTCATAGATTTATTTACTTGCCCAACTACCATTGCTGAAGATATGTTGGAGTATTGCTGAAACTGCCTTTTATTGGCCAGAAGACAGTCCATTTGTTTCACTTTTTTTTGTTTCCCCTACTGCTTTGAGCTTTACTGTAATGGCTGAAAAACTTGGAAAATAAAATGAACATGCTGTGGTCTTGAACATAATTTTTTTGAGGAAAAATTAAAGTGCCAGAGTGAAAGCCAGATGGCATCCAGAGAGAGGCTCTTTGAACTTTGGATGCTTTATTGTACAAAGGTAATCACTTTCCTTTTTATTTCTGTGCTTTAAAATAATGTAAAATTTTGTGACTGGCCTTATTACTACTTTATAGTAGTGTATTCATTCATACTGATTACTCCAAGCTTAAAAAAACTTAAGGATTTTCCTTTTTTTCAGGTTTGAACACATACATATATTGACATACTATTAAAAACTGTAGGGTGAGGTTTTTATTTGATACTTATGATCCTCCAAAATCCCAAAATTATATAAGTAAAATTATGCCCGTAAGAGCAAAATATTTGTTTGTGCTTTTCTTTTTCTCCTACAAGTGAAAGTGGGATAGAAGAGATTTTTTTTAGGAACACATTAAACATTTTTCTCAAAATTAACCTTTTAAATTGTATGAAAAGGTTATTGATGGAGGTTCTTACTATATGATTGGCACCATGTTAGAACTTCATGAGCATTATCTAATTTGATCCTCTCTACAATCCTGTAAGTATGATTATCCCCTTTTACTAATGAGAAAACTGAGGCAGGGGTTAAATGAGTAGCTGGTAGCAGAGAAACTCAGTACTTCCAGACTCAAGTCCATGCTTTTATTCATTGACTTCTTAATATTTTTGTTTTTGTCATGCCCAAATTTTTTTCCTCCCTGTCTCTGTATGAGTTTTTAAATGATAGCTTTGATTTTAGGTTATTGAGAAGAGTACTACTTAAAAACATGTTTTTCAAGTGAGTAGCTAGCTACATAACTACTTTGAAGATACTGACAAGGGTCAGAGAAATACCCATAATCTACTATTTAAGTTAATTTAAGTCTGTGTGGTAAAGTTCTCAAGTCATAGCTTGTGTTTCTGTGTTACTGGCTTCTTTTTTTATACTTTTAGCTCTTTGAAAAACAAATTATTCTTTAACAATAGTCTCATTTATCTGTAATATTAAATTTTAGAGATTACACTGGAGTTTTCTTTGACTTCCTGGTCTGATAATGGATGTATACTTTGAAATGTTTAATATGGATTTTTAAAATAGCTTTTAGTCTTGTGTAATTTAATGCCAGAAATGTCTTCTTAAAAATAGACAACTCTCCCAATAAAAAAGGAATCAAATAAACCAGACACTTTTGAAAATAGTCACTAACAAATAGTAGCCAAAAATTAAAATAATTTTTAGTACAAATGCCTGTAGTTTGAAAATTATTTGTTAAAAAAATACATCAAACTCACCAGGTTTTACTGTTTTCAGAATGACAAAAGTGAATGAGGCTGCATTGTCTTACTAATTAGTTATGTTTTCTAGGTAGATTTACTATTTTATTTAAATAACACAGTGCTTATTAAAAACACAGTATAGTTCATTGGCATATAAGGGAATTTTATTTGTAATGATGTTTAATATAAATATGAATCCCTACTCTTTGAAATTTCTGTCAATAATGAAGGCCTCTCATGGTCAAGTTTTGAAACCTATCTCTTCTTGGACAGGCAAATAATTTAAGATTTAAATAATGTGTGCCCTTAAGATTTAAATTTTTGGCTGGGCACGGTGGCTCATACCTGTAATCCTTGCACTCTGGGAGGCTGAGGCAGGAGGATGCCTCAAGGTCAGGAGTTCGAAACCAGCCCAGCCTGAGCAAGAATGAGACCCCGTCTCTACTAAAAATGGAAAGAAATTAATTGGACAACTAAATATATATAGAAAAAATTAGCCAGGCATGGTGGTACATGCCTATAGTCCCAGCAACTCGGGAGGCTGAGACAGAAGGATTGCTGAGCCAGGGCATGTGAGGTTGCTGTGAGCTAGGCTGATGCCATGGCACTCTAGCCCAGGCAACAGAGTGAGACTATGTCTCAAAAAAAAAAAAAAGATTTAAATTTTTATTCAGTTGTTTTCAAAGATTAGTTATTTAAAATCATGATTTTATGTTTCACCAGTTCATGAGTAAGCTACTTGTAAGCTAGACAACAGCTTTTTTCTGCAGACACCTTGAATCAGGTATCTACCAAATACACCTCAGAGATTTAAATTTTCAACCTAGTGAGGATAATTACCAAATACTATTCCCAGTTCTTATATTGCTGCCACTCTAACATTTAGCCCTTCAACCCACCTGACTTTTTTTTTCCACCTGACAAACTTTTAAGACCCTTAAAAAAAAAAACAAAACACTTGTAATAGCTTTCAGACAACTTCAGGACTGCTCAGATCTTATAAAAATGTTTTCTACAACTTAGTTCCTAGAGTGTCTTAGACCTTTTTGTGGGCTTACAATTGTAGAGTCTAGATTTGGCTCTGCTATCCTCTTTTGTAGTCTTGATAAAGACTTGCCTCTTTAGCTCTCAGTTTTTCTCATTTGTTGAGTAAGAGTGTATCTGTGAGAGAGAGAATGTTTATCTAACTCACCATTAAGATTTTTGTTTTGGGCTGGGTATATGGCTCACCTAGCACTAACACTCGGAGGTTGAGGCAGGCGGATCGCTCAAGATCATGAGTTCGAAACCAGCCTGAGCAAGAGAGAGACTCCGTCTCTATTAAAATAGAAAGAAATTAATTGGCCAACTAAAAATACATAGAAAAAATTAGCCGGGCATGGTGGCGCGTGCCTGTAGTCCCAGCTACTGGGGAGGCTGAGGCACTAGGATCACTTGAGCCCAGGAATTTGAGGTTGCTGTGAGCTAGGCTGACACCATGGCACTCACTCTAGCCTGGGCAACAAAGTGAGACTCTGTCTCAAAAAAAAAAAAAAAGATTTTTGTTTTGACCTCCAAAAGATAAATATAGTTTTTTTGTCCTTTTTTTTTTTTTTTTTTTGAGACAGAGTCTCGCTTTGTTGTCCAGGCTAGAGTGAGTGCCGTGGCGTCAGCCTAGCTCACAGCAACCTCAAACTCCTGGGCTAGAGTGATCCTTCTGCCTCAGCCTCCCGAGTAGCTGGGACTACAGGCATGCGCCACCATGCCCAGCTAATTTTATATATATATATCAGTTGGCCAATTAATTTCTTTCTATTTATAGTAGAGACGGGGTCTCGCTCTTGCTCAGGCTGGTTTTGAACTCCTGACCTTGAGCAATCCACCCGCCTCGGCCTCCCAAGAGCTAGGATTACAGGCGTGAGCCACAGCGCCCGGCCTTTTTGTCCTTATTGTGTGGATTGTTACATGGAACTTTTTTGTTATTTTTTAAGCTTTTATTATGGAAATTTTCAATCATGTACAAAGTAGAGAAGATATAGTGAACCCTTTTGTATCTGTCATCCAACTTCAACAATTATCAGTTCATGTTTAGTCACTTCATCTGTAACCCTCAATTTCCCCTGTCTTTACTCCTGAATTATTTTAAAGCAAATCCCAGACAATTTATCTTCTCCATAAACATGTAAAAATATATCTATAAAATAATTCCTCTTAAAAACAGTCGCAACACAATAATTCTTTAAATTATCGAATGTCAGTGTTCAAACCTTTCTGCTAGTGTCATAATCTTATTTTCCCACTGTTGGGTTCAGTATTGTTTCCCAATTTGTTTGGCTGAATCTTTAAATAAAGTATACACATTGTATCTGTTGAAAATGTCTGTTAAACCTTTTAATAATCTATAGGTTCCCCCTCACCACACTTTTTCATTCCTTGCTATATATTTGTTGAAGAAAGCAGGTTTTGACCTTACAGTTTGGATTTTGCTCATTGAATTCCCTTGATTTCATGTAATTCTTCCTTTCTTTTGAGGTCTATAAACTGGCAGATCTAGAGACTTTGATTGATTTAGGTTCTATTTTGGGTGGGAAAGGCTAGAATAATTCATAAGTGTAGTGGCCATCAGTGATTTTTGCCTATATGTGTTAATTATTAAGATACTGCAACACTGTATAAACTCTTATCATTTCTTCAATTATGAGTAGAACACGTAGCAAAGTGTCCCTTCATCGATGTTGATGACAATTCCTTAAAAGGGAAGGCAGGTAGCATATGTGTTGGTTCTCTTTGTCAGTTTTCACAGTAATAGCTTAATTTACTAACATCCTCCCAAGGTGATCAACTGTTTTTCTTGAGTATCAAGTTCATCTTTATTAAAGTTTAAACGGCATCTACTGTTTTGCTTCCCTACTTGGTTTGCTGTCTATACAAAATGTATACATACCTGATTAAAGAAGACAACTTTGAAGATTTATGAAGGACTGCTTCAGAGCAGTAAGGTTAAGACACCCTTCATATTTGTCACAGTGCTAACTTCAGTACATGTATTCCATTAAGTGTTAGCAATAGGTCAATATAAAGGTACCATCGTAGTGTTTCTGTGTAATGTAATGTTTTAAAAGTTACCATTGAACATTGTTAGAGTTTAGTAGGTATGGTAGGTAGTAGGACTACCTCAGAAATAACCCATGGGTAATACTGCTTGGTCAAAGGAATGCTAATGGAATATATAACTGTATTCTATTAATACCTATTAGTCTGGGTTCATTTGCAAGCCTAAATACTAGTCCTTTAAGTAGAATTTAAAATACTCCTTTCAGTTCTTAGCAGATGACTCCCCATATATTAAACTCCGTATTTGGAAAGAATTTGAGTATAAACTTTACAGTTTGTTTTTCTTAATTTAATTTAATTTAATTTTTTCGAACTCCTGACCACGAACAATCCGCCCGCCTCGGCCTCCCAGAGTGCTAGGATTACAGCGTGAGCACCGCGCTCCGCAAATTAATTTTTTTAAGACAGAGTCTCACTTTGTTGCCCAGGCTAGAGTGAATGCCGTGACATCAGCCTAACTCACAGCAACCCCAATCTCCTGGGCTCAAGCAATCCTCCTGCCTCAGCCTCTCAAGTAGCTGGGACAATAGGCATGCGCCACCATGCCCAGCTAAATTTTTGTATATATATTTTTAGTTGGTCAATTAATTCGTTTCTGTTTTTAGTAGAGACGGGGTCTCGCTCAGGCTGGTTTTGAACTCCTGACCTCGAGCAATCCTTCTTCCGCCTTGGCCTCCCAGAGTGTAGGATTACAGGCATGAGCCACCATGCCCGGCCTTAATTTTA